GTCGAGCTTGTTCACAATGTCGCCCATGTTACCGTGTCCATGGGCGTCGTCCGACATCATCGTCTCCGTCCGGTCCGGCAGGTGGAAGTAGCCGTACGGGAAGTCCTCGGCATGGAACTCGACGTCGGGCGTGGGCGTCGCGTCGGCCAGCATGCCTTCGGCGTTTTGACACATGTAAAAGGCAGCGTGGATATTGGCCCGCGTCGAATCCGTCTTCTTCGCGGGGACGGGGATCGCCCAGCCAGATACTTCGGGTATGCCGAATAAGCTCTGCATCCGCCCATACTCTTTGCGAACCGTCTTGGACGTCGACCGCGTCATGCTCATCCGGAGATGCTGATTGTCCATCGCGCTGCCCGACATGGTCATGATATTGTCCAGCACCTCCAGCGCCTCCATGCAGTACTCAGTTTGAAGCAGGCGCAGCAGTGGAGAGATCAAATCAGAACCGTGACCGGCCAAGTCGGGTCTCCTCATGTCAATCTCAGGGATGACAGTGCTTAAAATGCTCATCGTCTTGATCTTGACCCATGAGATGGAGTTGGTGAGCAGCCCCATCAAGAAGACGACCATGTTGAACTCCAACTTGGGCAGGAAGTGATCCCTCAGCGCACTGAACAATTGGACCTGGAATTCCCGCGTGTCAATATGGTGCTTGAAGGCGATGTACTCCTCGAGGACCTCCGCGATGTTGCCGTACCCCTGATCCTCCGCCACGGTGCAGAGAACCTCGGCCGCTTGGAGACATTGTTCGCTTGGTGTCTCCTGCTCCATCTCGTGCAGCAGCATCGGAAAGTAGGCCAGGATGACGTAGAATAGCCGACTATCGTCACCGACTAGGTTGTCGCTCGGCAGCTGGACCAACTTGGTCATGATATTGAAGGTCGTGTCCATGCAAACCGAAGATCTGAGGCCCTTGTAAAGAAGAGCCTGCAAGCCCTCAAAGGCGCCATCCCATCGCGAGGGCTGGCCGTCGGACAGCATTCTTCGAACATTGGGTGACTGGAAGTCAATCTTGGCCAGGAACTCGTCCAACATTTCAACTGCCTCCAGAAATTCGCGCTCATTGATTGATTCGAGACAAGCGCATGTCGTCCAAAACAGTTGTGGGAACGTCAGAAGCTTTTCAGCATCGAGCTTGATAATGAGTGTTTTGAGAGTCGTCAAAATTTCCATGGAAAAGGTTTGGATCTCGGAATCTTCGTCTGCGATGGTGTTAGACAAGCGAGCAAGCATGTCACCCAACATGAATTGGTCCAAGGACGTGAGAACACAGCGGAAGATTTGGAAGGATCGACAGGCGAGATGTCGCACGGGGCACGAGGTAGCCCAGGTCAGCGACAGCCGGCCCCATTGCTCCTTGATGCCAGGGTATGTCATCTCAAACGTCTTGACAACTTCGGTTGTCAAGTACTCCATACTTGCCGGGACTTTGTTGTCGTGGGTTTCAGCTTTTCCGTTGCTGTCCTCGTAACCCCAGACGACGGTGCGATCGTGCTGACGGATGAGATCGATCATGTTCTCAATGGACGCTTTGGCGCTGGCTGGCGTTTGCTCGTCGAGTTGGGAGATGACCAGTTCGTGGATCAAATGGATAAGCATTTCTCGAGCCTGTTCCTGGACCAGTGGCGTGTAATGGTCCCATAGAACGGTGACGACTTGTAGGAGGACCGGCACGTTCTCTGGTGTCAGCTGTATCGGTGAGACCATGAGGTCGACCAACAGTATCATGGACAGCTGGCCCAGAGAGAATCCGGCCTGCTTTGTGCCGATCGGCAAGGCGTCGCCCAAGTCTGCACAGTATGGAAGCTGAACAATATCCCGGTGGCGGCGATGCAACTTCCTTCTTTTCGTTGGGCACCATGGCCTTGGGGGTGATTTGCATGAGAAGGAACTCAACGACCTTGATGCCGGGAGTACTCGTCGTACTCGCCAAGAAAACAACAATTTGCTTGGCGTACTCGACAAAGTTCTGCTCTCGCCGTTCGAGGCATATAGAGATGATGAAATCAAGGATCAATCTGACGTTGCCAGGGTATGGGCCCGTGGCGAGTGCTTGCCAAAGCGCCTGCACCTCGTTGTGCAACGCACCGCTCGATTTGATCGTGATTTCGAGCAAGTTGGCCAAGAGAACGTATGACTCGGCGATAGGACCGCCATTGGGATCCACCTTCAACTCTATCGACTGAATCCAGGGCAGAAGGACTGCTACAACGTTGCGCTGTGAGGCAGGCTGTAGGTCCTTGAAGTAGAGGGTAAATTCTGAGAAGATGTGGAAGGCCAGTTCAGTGTGCTGCTTCGACAGGCGCTTTGATATTTCAAACTGGGCGTTCTTATACACCGCCTTCGTCTTGTCCGAAATACTAATGTCATAATCCTGTATCTTGGAACTTCGAGCGGGCTGCTGCCGCTCCTCCAAGGCTCGGAGGACGCGGGCGGACTTGGACCGGATCTCGCTCTCATCGTTACCAAGAGTGAAGAGACAGAGGCTGAGCAGTTTCCAGAAGGGGGAAGGGTAGTCAGGGTACTCCAAGAGTACTTGCGTAACCACAGCAAAGTAGCTCTCGAGAACTTTCGGCACATCCGACAAGTAACACCGAGCAATGCAACCCTGTTCGAGGAGGTAAGGGTACTCCTGGTTGTGCGTGATCAGGTTTTGCAACGCCCGCCGGCCGATGACGTTCATGCGGTCACTGCCAGAGTTGAAAATGGCCTCAATCCAAGCAAGCATCCGACGCAGATCGAATTGCAGTGTCGCACCACTCTCCGTCGTGATACTCATGGGCCCGCCGCACAGGGCAGCCATGGCGCTGAGTGCTGCCGTGCGGAGATTGCGCTTTTCGATTTCCATGGCCGCGGTCACGGTGCCTCGCTCGCCATGTGATTGCTGATCGATCAGAGACTGTCTCATAGTGTCTTCCCTGGCCCGGATCTGGTTTTGGTTCGGTGAGAAGCCGCACCAGTCTTCCATGAGTGAAAACGCAGATTTTCTTGACTCAAACGTCATCCATCTGGAGGGGTCTGACGTCCGATTGATGCCATCAAAAAGCTCCTCCATGAGTCCACAGTAATGGCGACGTAGCTTTTGAAATTCCCAGTCCATCTGGACTTCGCCGTCCATAAGAAATAGCTTCAGATCTCTGGTATAGTTGACTAGATTGTTCAAAACCCATTCGTCTTGGCAGACATCAGGCTCTTTCAGGAAATGTGAGGTGAGTTTGTAGATATGCGTAATCTCGGTCCGCAAGAGGTCCATCTTTCTATTCCGTCGAGGGCTGCTGTTGGTGCGCTGGTGGATCCGAGCGCGTGCCTCGTCGTTGCACCGAGATGCCTGCCCAGCAAGTTCTTCAAGAAGTGGCCTGTAAATGTGCTTGTTGATGGACCCCATGGCGAGCACCACAGCATCGCGGACAGAGGCGGACGACGCCGACAGAAGTGGTATGAGGTACTTGAACAGCAGCCGGGCTGAAACGATCTTGTCAGCCGCGTTTGGTTTGGATGTCTTCCGATTATGCTGTGCAGCCTGCGCAGGGCTTGTCATTTGGCTACCCGTGTCGGCCAGCGTGGTACAGGCGAAGATGAGGTACAGCTTCCACTGTTCAACCATGAACTCGGGCTGCGTGGTCGGCGTCCGGCTTGTGAGCCGGCCGCTTCCTGTGTCATTTCCGTAGTACAGGCCCCTGGAGGGCTCGGACAGCACCGTGATACCCTTGTACATCTGCAGTATCCGGTTGCATATTAGGTCACGGCCGATGGTGACCGTGAAAGGGCACTTCTCATAGGCGATGCGGATGAGGTTGGGGAAGAGTTTGAACCAGAGCGTCGTGTCGTACGACACATCGCTTGTGCAAAGTTCGACCAGGGCGCCCCGACTATTACTGTTCTGGATCCCCCTCTGCAGCCTGCTCCGTTCCGCGACGGAAAGGTGTTCGTCCTTGAAGTTCATTACTTGCATCGAGTCGTTCTCCAAAATGTCGATCACTCTCAAGTCTCCATCTTCCGCACTTTTACTCTTGCCAAGCGCTGCATCGAAGTCGTTGATCAGACGCAGCACTGTGATCGCGAAATACCGCACCCTGCGAGACTGGGAGCAGAGGAAGAAGAGCCCATGGGCCTCGGCCTGATCGACCTCGGCCCAGGTACTGGATATGTCAAGTTTGGCACCACGCGTGTCACTCGCGTCAGGCTGTTCGACGGATGCGTCCCGCGCCTTTTGCCTTATCTCCTCGATCCAGATTTGCAGCAGTTCGATGTACAGGCGAAGCGTACTCTCAATGTGGCCAGGGCCAAGCATGCCGCCATCAGACATTGTGGAGTACCGATCGTCGAAGTTGAAGATGAAGCGTGCAAACCCCATGATAACTTGCTGCGCGTGCAACTGTCGAGCAATGGCCTTGAGTGACCGTTCTGAGGACTGGGCAATATTGTACTGAACATGGGCAGTGCCAGTGCAGAGGAGGTTGATCAGTGAGTTGAAGGGTATGTCGGTGGAAAGACAACGCGGGAGTGCTTGAACGGCAACGTGTAAGAGCTCGTAGAAGGGTTGCTTCGAGTCGGACACTGTTTGGTGATCGTCCCGTCTCGAGAATGTAAATGTGTCGGCTATAGGGGTTTTGGGGCCTGGGCTGCTAAATTTCTCATCCAAGGTCGCTTGTCCGCCGAAAGTGTTATCGCAGTGTATCGTTATCTTGCCCAGCACCTCAGAGAACCTATAATAATACTCCCGAGCTGGATCACTTAGCACGCTGGCATCCACAGGCCGTAGGAGCTCCTCGCTTTCGATGGGGGGGACTGTAGCTGTAGCTGATGGGCCTTGTTGCGGTGACGGAATTGATGGCGAAAGTGGCATTCGTTCGGGCGCTGGTGTCGGCACATATGACACTGGGAAAGGAGGGCGACCCTGCGACCCCTTCTCGAGGTCTGACATGATGACCATGAAAGCCCGGATGCCAATGACTATGCGATCGGGGTCCAGTTGCTCGACCTTGGCCTCCCGGCCCGATAGGAATAGATCGGCATTGACAAGCGGGAAAATTATGTTTTTGAAGCAGTACTCGGGATATCTGAAACCGATGATGCGAATGATTTGTAGTAACGGGTCGATGACCGAGGCATCAGAGGCGACGAGACTGCGCCTGGTGGCTGGGAGAACGAGCCTCATCAACTCATCGAGCTTGCGAGAGGCGTTGGCCGATGTATCGTTAATTCGATACAAGTAAGTCCACGCCAGCCTTGAGACGACTTGCAAACACAAAGGTCGAGCGAGTCGGTCCTTGATTTTGGTCTGTAAAGGGAGAATCAACTGCATCCACTGTGCGGCAAAGGTTTCAGGAGTCGAGACGCAAAGCATGGTTGCCGTGAGGGGAAAGGCGAAATTCCAGTGCCGGGGCTTCAGGGACATCTGAGCCGGGCGTGGACCGATAGCTGCTAGGACTTCTGCCCACTTCGGATGGGAGAGCTCATTAGAGGTAGCCTTGGCTGCGATGGGCAGCAAGAGGACTTCGAGAACCTGACAGAAAGCAGTCTTGACCTTCTGTCCGTGAGACCGGTTGAAAAGCCTTCCGAGCTTGATCAAAAAGTCGCATGAGTTTTCCCACGCCTCGGTTGGAGCGATCTTGATCTTGAGATGCTTCATGCCACCCAGGACCAATTCAATCTTGCCCTCGGCATCGCGACCAGCCTGCGTCATGGCACTCTTGGCAGCGAGATCCTGCAAAGAGCGGTCTATATCGCCAAGGAACCGCTCCGTGACACCCTTAAAGTTGATATCGCTCATGCCACCGAGCAGCTGAGAAAAGAGATTCCAATTAGCCAGTTTCAGCGGGCTCATGACGAGTTGGTCGGTATCAGCGATCTTCAACTGGCCAAAAATGATGCCCTCGAGCTTTTCTTCCATTTCGAGAGTCAACAACGGCAGGCTCGTCTGGCTGATCACCTGCAGCAGCACTCGGCAAAGGATATATATGGACACTGTCGAGCGACGTTCGGCGTGGGCGACGAATTCTTGTTTGGCAGCCATAGAAGCCCCTGGACTTGTCAGCGGGTTCTCGGTGGACGGTCCAGTCCCGGCAGACAGTGGCTGCAGCGGTTCCGTATTCCGGCGCTGCAGGGATGTTGGCGTCTTGGATTGCTGCAACTGGCCTCGGGCATCATTGGCGGCGTCGCTTTTGCTCTTCCTCCACAGCATGATCGAATCGATGAGGGGCTTGGGTCGAGGCCGCGCGATGTGTCCGAGGGCGGCGATGATCTGGTCGAACGTCGTGTCGACCCCAGGCCCACATACGAGTTCGACCTGTGGCTCGGGGTCGAATGGCACCGTTATGCAATCGTTTAGCTTCTCCTCAGCTTGCGCAATGAACTGGTCAAAAAGTCAGCACCCCATAGGCGGACGAACGAAGGGCAGAGGTTCGAGAGGAGACGGACCTGTGTGAAGAGCACATGCAATGCATACTCGCCCACAGTCTTTTGCTGGTCCTCCTTGTTGTGCCTCGATGAGTGGGTATGGTGGTGAGCGCCATCGCGTCTGGTCTTGCTGTGCATGCGTTCAAGCTTCCTCTGAGTGGAGGTTTCGGTGGTATTGGCGGCGGCAGGGGATGCCCTGCCGGAGCCTTGTGTAGTGCCAGACAGGGCTGTGGGTGGACGAGAAGAAGCAGACGCAGGTCCCGGTCCTATGGCGGACGCAGGACCGTCTGGCTCTTGCCGTGCCACTGCATACATGTCTGGGCGGTCGGTGGCGGAGAGGCTAGCACCGGCTGCAGCGATTATCTGCGGACTGAGGGGACTGGAAGACGAGCTGGCGAGGCTTCCATTTCGAGAGTGTTGTATGCCGTGTACGATGGAGGTCTGGCGGTGGTGGCCATACGTGCCACCCTTGGGGTCGCCGGCGCGGTGTGCGGTGTGCGAGTGCGGTAGTCGTGGCGACGACAAGGAAGGCGGAGGGCCAGCGAGCTTCTCGAGTGACGATTCCCGCGAATGGGCAACAGAGCGAGCAACACTGGCGGGCAGATCGAGCGGAAAGGCGGCAGGTCTGACGGTGCGCTCCCAGTCAATGACGGAGTCTCCGCGCTCCTCGTCTTCCTCGTCGAGGGTCGTCACAGAGCGAGGCGAGAACTTGAGTGGATCCTGAAGATGGTCGGGCAGCGTCTGGGGCGGAGCTACTAAGCAGCAAGAGAAGTCGTTAGTCAAAAGAGGTACGAGGTAAGGTCGAGGAGGCCCAAGATCGGGGTCCCATGGGTTTCGATGCGCTGCGTGCGTGGTTCCCCCCTCTTGCTCTTCATTCGTCGTGAAACGCAGAGCGCAACGGAAGGACACCAGACGGGTGATCGGGATCGGGAAGGGGGGTGGGTGCCCAAGTCGCCTGCAGGAAGAGGGTGGCCTCGCGACGGGTGGGTGTGGGAGGAAGCGCAGGAGGATTCCCGGTGCACAGATGCTCGTAGCAGCAGCCAGCAGCCAGCAGCCAGGAGGACGGCGTCGGACGCAAGCTGATGTGGTGGACCTTGGCTCTAGGATGTTGGGGAGGACCGGGAGAAGAAAGGCAGACTAACTCATTGTCAGGTTGGACCAAGGGCCATGATCCGTCTTACGACATGTGAATATGGTGTAGCATTACGGCCTCCCGACGGCAGTACTGCTTCGTCAAGGTGTTTGTTGTCTGGGATCCGACGGCGGCGGGTTTCGACAGTCGAACGTAAGGTAGAAAGCTAGGTTAGGTGGATGGAACGAAGGAGATCTTGCGGAGGAGGAGACAGCACCAGATCAATGAATAGATGAATGGATGGATGATGGAGTCCAGGCCCCAGCCTCCAGTGCCTGCGGTGTCGATCACTGACGTCCAATTGGATTTTCGGCTGCTGTAAGGGTTGCCTTTCGCGGGCCTGGCAAGCCTGGGAATCCTGCAAGGGCCACCAGCACGGACGAAGCCAGCAGGCGAAATGCCCTAACGAGGCCTAGCAGCCCGCCGCGGCCGTGGGAGATCTCCTGGGTGCCCAGGGCGCGTGCTGTGGCCTCCCCTGTAGGGGTTGACCCTTGGGGGGGGGGGGGGGGGGGGGGGGGGTTGAGGGGTCACTTGGCTGCTTGGGTCGGTCTCTCTGGATGGGATTTTTTGAGGGGCACGACCAGGGGTCTCCGCGGCATGTACCGTCTTGATTGGCTGGTCCCTGGCTTGATCCCATCCCTTGCGCGCGACACCTGCCAGCATTGCGGGCCGCCGTCATTGGTGCCGATGGGGAAGGTCAACTCAGTCCCCAGGCAGGCAGCGGGCAGCCAGAAAGAACTCTCTCATCCAAAAACACACCAGGCACGCAACCAGGCCATGGCACTCGGCATGACCCTGCACAGCGCTTGTCACCGGCCGGCGCGTCCTTGGATCTGCTTGACTCTGCAAAGTGATTATGCTGCCAGCTCACCGGGCCCCACCGTCTTCGCGATCACGAGGACGATTGCCATGACAGCCTATGGCAACTTCACGTCCGTCAGTCATTTCATGTCCAGTCACACGATGGCGATCTTCCACGTAGACCTCCAGGGCCCATGATTGACGACATGCTCGGGCACCGTTTTCTGAACGTACAGGTAGAATCTACCAGGGGCCGCCTGCTCATGTGAGGCACGCTATCGAGGCCGCTAGTATGGTCCAGGGCTTTGCTGGTTATGGTGATGGTCGTTCGACAAGATTGGGCCCTGAGTTTTGTTCTGGAATTACCTTACCTACCTTACCTAGGTAGGTACCAAGTTGAGGTCGAGTAGCGCGCGAAGCCAACGACCTGGCTCCTTTTTCGGTCGTCTTTTTCTGGCCACGGTAGGGGTGGTGAGGGGGCTTGACGCAGATATCGGGAGATTGGCAGAGGATGGTCGGTCGGGTGATTGATTGATTGCCTGTGGACACTTCATAATACCTCCGAGATCGTCGAGAACAATGTTCCGAGAAGCCGTGTTGGCAGTACGGGCGGGTGGAGGGAGGGTCTCATAAGTGCGGCCCGGTGACATTGTGGCTTGCAGATTGTGACGAGGGTGGACTTGTCTGCCTCTGAATAGAAGAGAAGGGGAGATGGCCGGTAATGAAGACTGAATGCACAGTTGATGATACTCAGGACGAAGTCCCGTCGCATGGTTGCTTAAGGTATCAGGTACAGGTACCTACCTAAGGTAAGGTACCTTAGGTAAAAGCTTTGTTGGCCAGGGGCGATGGTCTGGCACATCAGATCGGTGTCATGGAAATCCGCTTTCAAGATGTGGCATCTCTCATAGCTATCTACCTACCTTCCCAACACGTACATGGAAGGTTAGGTTGTTCAAACTCACCATTCACGATTATGTCCAAATGCCTGATGTCCTGGGCGGATCCATCCAGGCGCATTAGTAAGCCAACTCCATCATCATGCACAGCCTATGAGCGCCGAAGGGTTCAGCTTCTTGGGAGCGAAGCATCTTGGTGATTGAGTGGCCTGTCCAAGATGGGTCTGGCCGAGGCGATGATGGAGGACCAGGGAGGATCAAAAGCATTATTGGGAGAATATCCCCTCGGTTCTGTCTGACGTGAGAAGAGAACGGCCTGGGAGCTCACTCAATAGTGGTGTACTTGCAGACAGGCCAGCCACAGCAACCGGCATTGCACTCGTATTCGGATTGACGAATACCTGTAATACCGCTCAAGCCAGTTCAATGCGCTACATTATGAGCCGTAGGCTCTAGGTCAACCAACCAGACCATCTTCCTTCTCATCTAAGGGTACCTAAGGTAGGTAAGGTAGGTACCTAATTACCTAGTAGACATGCTTGGATTGCCGGGGGGTGGAAGCACATGTCGTGAGGCAAGGTGAGGTAGCATCTCAAGAAAGTTTCAACTGTTCGAGTGGGCTGACCTCGGCCTCGACTTTTCCCGGCAGTGCTCACCTGTTCCCGATTCAGTCTCTACTATGTATGTTGTGCTTGGCCGCCTACCTGTCAAGTCCACATGCACAACGGTGGCAGATTTGATTCCCTTCTCCTGTATGTACCTAGATCAGGTAGTTCCACAACTCCGCCTCGACAGCATTCGTCTGATTTTTTTCTTTTCATTTTTTTTCTTGATCTCATCTCTCCCGTCGATAGGTAGAGTGAAGACGTCTGAGTAAGCCCTTCCCCCTCTCCTCTTTTGTTTTTTCCATTGTCGCCAGACGCTCGCAAAGTCAGACCAAGGTACAATTGCGAGAAAAAGCCGACACAAAGAGCCGACGCCGATTAGATCGTCGTCGGGGGGGTTTTAGTACGCCGGTTTCCGATTCCGAGCGGAACGCCCGACCATTCCTAGCTTGGCGTTTAGTGGGGGAAAACCTTAGTCACTGGCCTGACTCTGGTGCCAGATCTCGGTACTACCACAGTACACTTGGGCTTTCTTCTCGCTGACAACACGTGCGTCTCTTTCGCAGGTCGAACCGACTTTCCAGCGCTTGACCCCTCGGCCTCGACGACTGCTGCTGTCGAACCCTCTCATCCGACAAGACGGTTTCCATAAACGTCTTTGACGACCCGACCGAAACTCTCTCGACATTCTCATCGACACAACACACCACAACAGTGCGCCTTTCAGCCGCCTGCAGCCGAGTTGCCCCTCAACACCACTGCCGAGATATCCTCGGTGCCAAAATAAGAGAGACACCCCGCCCGCCAACATGGCCGAGCTTGATACTCTGGACATCATTGTCCTGTCCGTGATCCTTCTCGGCACGGCCGCCTACTTCACCAAGGGCAAGTACTGGGCCATTGAGAAGGACCCCTACGCCAATGGTTTCGCCAGCGCCGGCGGCCCCAAGGCCGGCAAGACGCGCAACATTATCGAGAAGCTAGATGAGTCCGGCAAGAACTGTGTCATCTTCTATGGATCCCAGACTGGTACCGCTGAGGACTACGCCTCCCGTCTCGCCAAGGAGGGCAAGTCTCGTTTCGGCCTCGAGACTATGGTCGCCGATCTTGAGGACTACGACTTTGACAATCTCGACGCCGTCTCCACCGACAAGGTCGTCATGTTCGTCCTGGCTACCTACGGCGAGGGCGAGCCCACCGACAACGCCGTTGAGTTTTACGAATTTATCACGGGCGAGGACGTCTCGTTCAACGAAGCCAACGAGCCTGCTCTCGGAAACCTCAACTTCGTCGCTTTCGGCCTCGGTAACAACACGTATGAGCACTACAACTCGATGGTTCGCAATGTTACAAAGGCTCTCGAGAAGCTTGGTGCTCACCGCATCGGCGAGGCCGGCGAGGGTGACGACGGTGCCGGTACCATGGAGGAAGACTTCCTCGCCTGGAAGGATCCAATGTGGACCGCCCTTGCTGAGAAGATGGGACTTGAAGAGCGCGAGGCCGTCTATGAGCCCATCTTCAGCATCACAGAGCGTGACGGCCTGACCCCTGAGTCGCCCGAGGTGTACCTTGGTGAGCCTAACAAGATGCATCTCGAGGGTGCTGCCAAGGGACCCTTCAACTCGCACAACCCTTACATTGCCCCGATTGCCGAGTCGAGAGAGCTCTTCAATGTCAAGGACCGTAACTGCCTCCACGTTGAGGTCGATGTCAGCGGCTCCAACCTCTCCTACCAGACCGGTGATCACATTGCCATCTGGCCCACGAACCCAGGCCACGAGGTCGATCTCTTCCTCGATGTCATCGGCCTCAAGGACAAGCGCCACACTGTTGTCAGCATCAAGGCCCTCGAGCCCACCGCCAAGGTCCCCTTCCCGACGCCGACTACCTACGACGCCATCGTTCGCTACCACCTGGAGATCGGAGCTCCAGTGTCCCGCCAGTTTGTTTCCACCCTGGCTGCTTTCGCCCCCAATGACACCGCTCGCGCCGAGATGACTAGACTTGGCGGCGACAAGGACTACTTCCACGAGAAGACGGGTGCCCACTACTTCAACATCTCCCGTTTCCTCTCCTCCGTGAGCGGCGGCGCCCCATGGGCCAATATCCCCTTCTCCGCCTGGATCGAGGGCATCACCAAGCTTCAACCCCGCTACTACTCCATCTCCTCGTCCTCCCTCGTCCAGCCCAAGAAGATCTCCATCACCGCCGTCGTCGAGCGCCAGGCTATTCCTGGCCGCGAAGAGGACCCCTTCCGCGGCGTTGCCACCAACTACCTCTATGCCCTCAAGCAGAAGCAGAACGGCGACCCAAACCCCGAGGCCTTTGGCCAGACATACGAAATCACTGGTCCCAGGAACAAGTACGACGGTATTCACGTGCCTGTACATGTTCGCCACTCCAACTTCAAGCTGCCCTCTGACCCCTCTCGTCCCGTCATCATGGTCGGCCCTGGCACCGGCGTCGCACCCTTCCGTGCCTTCATCCAGGAGCGTGCCAAGCAGGCCGAGGACGGCGCGACTGTCGGTCCGACACTGCTCTTCTTCGGCTGCCGCAAGTCTACCGAAGACTTTGTTTACAAGGAGGAATTCGAGGTACGTATCCTTTGTCCCCGAACCTACACGGCAGGCCTCGATGGGCGTGCCGCGATGACGTGGCAGCAAGAACTGACATACGCAGTCGTACAAGAAGTCCCTCGGCGACAGCTTCGAACTCATCACGGCCTTTTCCCGCGAGGGCCCCAAGAAGGTCTACGTCCAGCACCGCCTGCGCGAGCGCGCCCAGCAGGTCAACGACCTCCTTCAGAAGAAGGCCTACTTCTACGTCTGCGGCGACGCCGCCAACATGGCGCGCGAGGTCAACACGTTCCTCGGCCAGATCATTGCCGAGCAGCGCGGCGTGTCCGAGGCTAAGGCTGAGGAGATTGTCAAGGGAATGCGCGCGGCGAACCAGTACCAGGTACGAACTCTTTCCGTCTTCTCCCCTGGGCCGTCGCTTGAGGCTCGCGTAAATGTGGCGTGCTTGATGCTAACCTTGCGTAGGAGGACGTCTGGTCTTAGATTGCATGCAAAGGATAGAGCCATCGGGCATTCGTTTCGTGGAGCAAAGTATTTTTTTTTGTTCCCAAGCATGGCTAATGCGAGCGTGCACGTGCAGCAATCGGAAATCGAAAGGGGAGATGGGGGCTCGGGATTGGAAAGGATAAACGGACGGCCGGGCGGTTGGGCCGGGCTGGCTGTCTTGAGTTTGGCAAGGGGAGCACACGGGCTTTCACGGCTTTGGTCTGGCATGCATAGTACATTTGGCTTACCTCGTTCACATGTAGCAAGGGTGCAAACCGTTTATACAACGATAGACTTGAATCAGCCTTTGTTTTTTCTTTCTTTCACCATCACTGCTCTTTGTTCTAGATCTCAGATAAGCACATCAAGGCAAGCCAGAGGCATCGATTCGCCATCGAGCTACGGTGGATCGTGGATGAAAAAAAACAGGTTGGAGAGCTCAGCATTCGTCCCATCCCATTCTTCGATGAGGCCATTTGTTGGCATCACCTGTCTTCGCGGCCCTTTCGCTTGGCCCTGATGTACGGATAAATAGCGACGGTTCATTGCCAGCCAGCTGGTTCCGATAAGATCGGACCCGAATCTAGCGTAGCACTGCTAGGCTTCGTGTGCGGAGGAGCAGCGGCAGGCTTCTATCTAAAGAATGTGCAGATGTGACCTGTCATCTAAGCTGCGATGAGCGGTGGAAGACTTGGTGGTGCTATGAAGATGGCCATGCGGTGCGTGCAGTCGTGGCACGACTGCACTTGTGTTCCTCGTTTCTATATTCCCGCTCTAATCTTGAAACCTGGCCCTATCTCTTTTCATGACACGCATGTGAAGGAGGTGATGATCTATGTCGGTCACCACGGACAAAGGTACGAAAACGGCGAAAACCGTTTCATGTCAGCTCGTGGCGAGGCACTTCTATCGGACACCGCCTCATGGCCCCCTGCTGCTCTCGTGCTAGGGCCCCCAAAGGTCATGACGCCTGCAGGGTGAGGTCATGATACATCAGTCGATCTGCCTGCTGTCAAGGTGCGTGCATGTTGGATGGCAACCCGCCATCTCTGATCCTGCCAGTATGAGTTGCAGGAATGTCTCACACCCTTCTTGACCGGTGAAGAAACTGTTGAGTTAGAGTTGGCCATCCAAGTGCAGACAGACCTCTTTGCGCACCAAGTTATCTTGTCGCTGGTGCATACAGTCGCTCCTCCGCACAGACGGCGATGTCGTCCGTTCTTTCGCTTACATATGTTATACCGGCCTGCCTTAGGAATGCCTGATATCTGGCACCAGTCGGACACGAAGGTCCGCCATGATTGGCGAGTGATTACTATACATCGTACTAACCGAAAGCCTGGTCTTTGAGATGGAATAGGCACAACGACATATCGGGAAACACACTTTCCGTATCAAGCCGTAGCAAGTCGCTTCTAGCAGGATGTCAAGGTATGGCCCCGAGATCACACCGTTTTGTATCTCATGGCTCCATTGGCGTCTACTGCCACTATACCAACATCTCAAGCTGTTGTTGGCGTAAGACCAGTTGAGCAATGAGGGGTCATACACCACGCTTTACCGCCTGTTCAGTAATTGTTGGAGTAGCACAAGCCCTTTTTAATACGTTGCAGGGGATGCTGGCTGCATGCGGGCACAGGTGACAGGTCGCATTTTGCATCATTTCGCTTCAGAGTGTCACCTGTGGCTTTCGTGCGTATGCGTCTGCGAGAGCACGGTGCTCGAGGTACAGGCCAGATAACATAATTGCAGTTCATTAGGCGCTTACTCGGAAATGGGAGCATCAACCCGAAGATCCCTCAGTCGATGTTTCGTGCCCAGATCGTTGTCAGATCCATGCTCGATTGTGGCAGAGGTTTGGATCGAGAAGAAATGTGGAGGTGGAGTGTTGGCTGGGGTGCCGAATCCGATACTCGATCGGATCTTTCAGCCTCAAAAGCCTTTTGTAACCTCGCTACGCCATGAGAAATTATCCCATGCCGGTGTTTTTCGACCATGTCAGTCATGCTTGAACACGTTGACACCCATCCCAGATTTTTACCCTTGAGATGGCCAAAGTCGGGCTCCAACGCGCCGTGCAGGTGATTGTCTTTCCTCCTGTGAGCACCTTACCTTACGAGAGTGATCTGACCCTCCATTAGCACCATTATTGCTTTTTCCAACCCCCCCGAAATCGAGCGTGGACCAGTCCCCCTTCCTTCTGCAAGCCCCCCCTTCGGCTACCGCGAACTTTGTTGTTCTCTCTCCGACGGACTCTGAGACCTCAAGGCAGTAATCCACCAGGGGGGCTGCACCAGGTATGAGATGGGATCCCATTGGGTCCAGAACGTTGTCTGGCATCTGGGTGAAGCGGCACGCTCTCCATCGTGGCAGAGAAACTCGGCATCCCAACACGAGCGAGGTGCAGGTCAATCTCTGACATAGCCAGTCAGCTCACACGAGCTAGCAATCCTCGCCAAAGGGGCTGCTTCTTCTGCCACCCAGGAATTGGGCCCCTGTTTGAGACTTGAGGCCATTGAGTGCTGGCGATTGGCGACGATGCACGGTGGAAAGAGTGCCCGCATGATTGCTGAGAGCTTGGAAAGGTGACAAACCCCGCCGGAGCTGGGTCCGTTCGAGGGACGTGATGCGCCTCCACTTTGCAGAGAATGAAGCACGGATGCTCTCCCGGGCGATGTGCTCGCCCGGGCGATGTGCTCTCCCTAACAGGTCGCTGCCAAGGCTAGCCGGCCATCTGGGCACCACAGAACTGCAGGGGGCGGGGCGTGATGCGCGGCGGTCTTCCATCAGCCAGCCGCAGTGCCGTTTCTCGAATTGGAATCCCCTGTCTCAGGCCACAGAAGAAAGCGAAGAAGAAAAGGAAGCTACCTCTCGGTAGTAGCGTTGATGAGGGCGATCGCTTGGGTGCAACATGGGCAAGGCATGGTAGAACCGCATGCCACCCTCGTGTTGGACCCTTTATAGACACCACATGTGCCTCTTTGTCAACCGTCAACTGCCCCGACCGGCTTGCTGCACTGAATTGCACGTCTACCTTTTTTTTTTTTTTTTGTGACCTATCACTACTTTACACGGCGTTCTGCTTTGAGGTGCTGAAGGAGTATTCTTAGAAGCAGGTTCGGTGTGGCGAAGCTGCAGCATCCATCGTTCATCCACGGGAAACCTGCATCTTCATCGGAAGATTTGCCCGTTAAACTCGACCAAATCAGCACCGGGCAAGCGATACGACGAACGACGCCAACGACGGACGACGGACGACGGACGACGGACGACGCGTCTCCATTTAGGCATACAAGATTGTTTGGGAAGTTGCTCGGTAACAAAGAGAAGGAGCGCGAGGCACCAGTTTCCCTAAGGAAAAATCAGTGTCAACATCACCAATTCGTATGCCGGACGTGCTTACCTACAACAAAGTATCCTAAGGGTTGATGCCGCGAACGAACAGAGCAACATACACCTGGTCTCCTTACACAACTATAGCACGAACTTCAAAGTGTTGATGAGTAGGTTGAAGCTTCTCCTGTCCTCATCACACAGCGCTGGGTACATGCACTTACAAGATGCAGATGAGTACATGAAAGGAAGGCACCAACACGCCTGTCGTGTGGTCTTTACCATAACAACTGCCACACTTGTGGGAAAGCT